ATCCATCCATCCATCCATCCATCCATCCATCCATCCATCCATCCATCCGTCCATCCATCCATCCATCCATCCATTTTTTTTTTCAGTCATTCAAATTCAGTTTTTTAAAATAATTATCTTATGTTTCTTCCTTTCCTTCCTACATATGGACACTGAAGGATGAAATTGGGCTCATTCCTAGAATATGCAAGGTAAATATGAATTCTCCTTTTTAAGATATTTATAAACCTTTTAATTTTACTTTGTTTTCCCATTTTTCACTTATATTAATATAATATTAATGTGTCTTCACAAACATTTTTGATAAAGAAAGGAATAATACTAAAGTGAATGACATGTGCTCGAAATGTGAAAACAAATGTGAAAGAATAACACCCAAAATAGAAAGAAAGTTATCTTAAATTAATCGTTGTTGTCGTAAATGTAAGGCTAACATGAAAATACAAAAGAAATCACACTTTTTCTCGATGGAATTTGTGGCATTTCTTTCGTATTTCCATGTTAGCCTCAGGACAAGTTTGAGAAGGCTCCATTGACTGGTGTACCTGTTCCCTTTCAGGGACTTTTCAAGTACATCGCAGAGAACTCCAACGACAGAATGTCATTCAGAACAGAAGTGAGGTAATTAATAACTGTCCATCATCATCATCATAAATTAATGTCTGTCAATTCACAAGACCTCACCTAACCTTTATGGTTGCCATGACAACGTCCTTGACTCACGAAACGAAAGTTATGATGACGGCACGAAGATTTTTCTCGAATTTGCTTTAGTATACTGAAAAAGTGGTTCTATGTTGTCTGCTCTATGATTGGCCTCTTTTATCGCATTGACCTTTTAAGAGTGCAAATTTATGTCGTACGCCGCTACGCAGTGTAGCAGGGACGTCGCGTCGCCATGGATACAACGGCAAGATTATGCAAAAATGAAAACAGTTGCTTATACGATTGGTTCCCTATAAAATATATTTAAAAAACCTCAGGTCGTACGTTTCTCATACAATCATAAAGAAAAGCTTACGGGATTTCGTGATGAAAATGAATGAAAAATCGCTTTGATATCGTTAAAGAAAGCGATAACTGAAGTTGGATATTTTTAGTCTGCGTATATCGGACAGACGAAAGATTTTTTCGGACGTTAGTCTGAGTGTACAAACTTCGTTTGCTTTTGTATTGTTAATATTTTCTCAACAAGAGTGAACGCAATTTTCAAAACCCAGTGTGAAGATCCCCGAGAAAAATAATCCCACGCACTTATACTCAAGATACGACGACGCGACGTCTTTTTTTCTAAAGCTACTGTAAATAAAATCGCGTTGACAATCCCTGTTATCTTTTATCTTTTTTTCCCTTTCGTGTGATGTTTTTATCGCCGGGGTCACAGTCTGGGAGTACTTTTAGAAACAACAGTTTAGTGTGATCGTGACTTAAATTCACGAGCAGTTCATGTGATTTCCTGCATTTGATGCATCTAATAGATAAGATAAGTAACGCTTATTTTATTTATGTGGGCGTTGAAGGAAGGTTTTTCATACAAAGTTTATTGTAATTAAGTTGCTTTATAGTAAATTTAACGAAATAAAAGCCTCCTTTATTCGAAGTCTATACCATACCTGTTTAATTTATATAAATTATAATTGCCATGAAAACGAAGCAAGTTGAAATATTTTAGTGTTCTAGATACGCATGCCTACTCATTGCTATTCAAAGCATTCCCCAAAGTCCTTAATATTATATTTTATTTTTAAAAAAGACTAAATATTTTATTCTTTATTGTGTTGATAGTTATATGGAAATCTATAACGAGCATGTGAGAGACCTACTCCGACCACACAACCTCAGAAAACTGCCTCAGCAAAACTTGAAAGTTCGCGAGCATCCAAAGGAAGGACCTTACGTAGAAGGTGAGTAGCCACAGGTAACCCATGTAGATAGTTTGTTACGTGTTTTTTTTCAATACGCATGAAGCGAGATGACGTTTTACCCCCGTTTCTAGACCATAATCCTTTTCACACTGCTTTTATTCTTTAATTATGACTATTGATCCTGTATTCTCTAAGGATTCAAAAATTTTAATATGAAAGAATTTAAAAAACTATTATGGAAGAGTCGGGGGTAAAACGTCATCTCGCTTCAGGCTTATATCCAGCCTATAGTCTTCCGGCTTTTTTGTCAGCGGGCTGGCACCGGATGGAGTGCTGACGACCAAGCAATGAAGGCTCTGGAGGACTCTGGGTACGAGAGGTGTTTTTCAAGGTTTTCCCAGGCTCTCTCTTTCTCTCTCTGCTGGACAACGGTGCACTGGGACACCTTGCTTGAAGGATTCACGGCAAATGAGAAGAAAAATAGGTATAATAAGCGGACTCTTGTTCTAATTCGTTTTTACAGGTTTGACCAAGCAACACGTCTCAGATAACGATTCTATTGAAGTCCTCATCGAACAAGGCAACAGACTGAGGTACGCCAAAATTACAGCTGTTGCGTTACAAGGCTTATTCACGTCACGCAACGCTTGAAAATCACTATTTTCCGTAAAATGAGTTTTAAGCTACGGACACACGATGCAACATTGCGCGCAATAATGCATGCAATTGATGTTGAGAGCGATGACACACGACGCAATTTGTTGCACGCAACGTTGCTGAAGTAGAAAACTATCCTACTTAAACAACATTGCCTGCAGTTTTGCGCGCAATGTTACACCGTGTGTCCGTGCCTTTAATCACCAAAAGTAGTTGGAACGTGGCACATTGAATACGTGACCGAAGTTTTCAACAAAAGAGCGTTTTTCGCATGAGTGAAAACATACGGTACTGACTTACAGCACGTACACTGTAGATAAGTCAATGCTGTTATCCAATAAATTTATCCACTGGATAAGATTTATCAATCGGATAGCGCTATCCACCCATCGTACAACCGGCCCCAGATGAATGATTCTAAAAATAGCATCAAATATCTAAAAATAGTATCAAAGAGTGCTCATGATGGGGCGCGTGAGTCCTTCTCTTAGTTCATTTTCTTTTGTTCGCACTCATTCCAAAAAATGCTCTATATCTTATGTTGCGTGCTGATATCCATCGTGCATGGAATTTGTCACGCATTATTGGTTGTTTATTTATGCGTACCTAAAACTACACAATAGGGTTTAATATCACGATATTTCCTGGATTAAGAACCACAATACAAGCAGACAACAATACCCGGAGGTGCTGACTGTGTATTGAAAGAACGAGACAAATCTGTTGTCTAAAACGTCGCATTTCCTGATGTATGACTTTTCTTGACCGTAAAAATGGCTGTCACACAGCACAGTCACGCACGGAAATGAGAAAATCCAATGACTCTTCCGCAGCATACGAGATCTTGTTTCTCGTTCAGACACGCTACCTGTTCACGGCACGTTCGTCACGCACATACCGAGAATATTTCACTAGTCCATGCATAAACAAATGCAGGGTAAGTTAGCCTTGGATTTTTTATTTAGTTTTTTTTTTATCTGTTTTCAGATCAACAGCGGCTACTAAAATGAACGAAGGCAGCAGCCGATCACACGCTATTTTTACCATAAAGTTCACACAGGTATGGAAAGCTGAAAATCTTGGCCTAAAGACTTACTTTTGTCTCATTATATGCCATTTATTTTTTCGGGTTTTTGAAAAATTATTTATGTCAAATGTCTTTTTTAAGTTTGGTTTACTTGTTTGACGTTTTAGGCGAAGTTTCTAGCAGATCTTCCCTCAGAGACGATCAGTAAGATCCACTTGGTAGACCTTGCAGGAAGGTAATTGCAACACCATCACCACAGACAGTCATCATCATCATCAACAACATCATCAGCACCTTTATCATCATCATCATCATCGCCATCATCGTCATTATCACCATCTACTTCATCTTCATCATCGCCACTAACATTATCATCATTAGTCGTCATTACCACCACCATCATTATCATTGTCATCATCATCATCATAATCATCATCGTCACCACCATCATTCTTATTTTTAATTTTTACGCGGAATGTTATATTTTTTGCACATAATTTTACGTCTAATTATTTGAACATTTCATGAGGTGGTCACCTCGCATGGGTCTCGTGTCCCGTTCGTGACTTTCCTTTCTGGGTAACTATTAGTTTTTTTCTATTCAACACATTGTAATATTAGTTTCCCAATAAAGCTGTTAAAAAAAATCACCATCTCCATTGTCACATGACCTCGATGCCACCAGCATAATCAAAATCGCATTTTACGCTAACTTTAGATAAATAACACGCGCGGAATCGTCGTCACAACGAAGTGGATTTAGCTGGACGACAATCGATACGTACCCATGGCCTTCCATGCCATAGGTACGTGCCCTTGGAAACTTAACTTTGTGTGTTTTCCGATCGATACTGTCCACCAAACCACAAATTGTACGATTCCTCGTGCGCTATTGAGGGGAACTGTATAAATATATTTTTAAACTGTGTGTGCGTCTGAAAGCTCACACATGACTGTTGTATTTTGTAACAGTGAGAGAGCAAGCGCCAGTGGAGCAACAGGTGATCGATTAAAAGAAGGCAGCAACATCAACAGATCATTAGTTACTCTAGGAATAGTCATTTCAACTCTAGGTAATGATAATCCCGATGACATAGCAACCAGGACACTAGTATATCTTATTTCCATTAGACCCCTTGCATGTGACGTCAAAGCAGCTCGATCTGAGGTACAAAACAAAAGAATTCCAATCTCCTGAGAATTGGAACCTATTGTTTTGTCCCCCAGATTGAGCTGCATTCCAAAGTGCTGCAAGGGGTCTTTAGGCGTTTTCTGAGAACATGGTGCATGGTCTAGAGCGATAATTTTCGTAAATGGAATTTACAATAAAACTGAGTAATCTCTTTTATAAATTTACTTTTCAGCTGAAAATTCCATGAACGAGATTGAGGGAACCAAGCGTTTAGCGTTTAGGAAGAAGCTTTTTGTGCCATATCGTGATTCAGTGTTAACATTCCTTCTTAAGGACAGCCTCGGTGGGAATTCGAAGACTATTATGATAGCAGGTATGATATGCGTTCTTTGCTACTTCAAGATCCTCGAAAAGGAGTAAAAGAACTACTCCGACGAAGGACTAACTCCGAAATGTCAGTACAGTTACAAGCGCTCTTACACGGTGTTTAAGTTTCATTCTTATCCACTTATATTTAACACACCAACACAGCCCCAACTAGTAACCACTAGTCATTCTTATTCACTTGTTGTATTCAACACACCAACACAGTCCCAACTAGTAACCACTAGTCATTCTTATTCACTTGTTGTATTCAGCACACCAACACAGTCCCAACTAGTAACCACTAGTCATTCTTATTCACTTGTTGTATTCAACACACCAACACAGTCCCAACTAGTATTTTCTAGTCATTTTTCGTTGAAAGAATATTTCTGTCATCTTGTTTTAGCCGTTTCACCAGCCGAATGTAATTATGGCGAGACATTGAGTACACTGAGATACGCGCAGAGAGCCAAGAATATTATCAACAAACCAACAGTTAACGAGGTAAAACGAAATTCGTGTTTTATGCCAAGAATGGACGAGAATATACAGTGCGCATGCGCTCGAGACATCAATATTTTGATTCGTCCAGCAGTAGCCTTGCGTCCAAAACCACAGTGCAAACGTGCATTGCCTTGACCATGACAGTGTTGGGTCCACTGTGAATTCTCATTTAATGAGCTATGAATTAGCGAACTGTAATTGGCTCACAGAGTTTGTCAATCCGTAACTTGTCCGTACCGCTATCCATTCCAGCGGTTTTTCCCCACCAGCATACTAACCAACTCGGCCATGTTTTTTTCAGGATCCAAACGTCAAGCTGATTAGAGAACTGAGAGCTGAGATTGAAAGATTAAAGAACAAACTAAGGAGTCCAAATGAAAAGGTATTCACCCTTCTCACGGTAGCGTGACATTAGAGTATATTTGATTAATTCGATAAAGGATTAAATTTATGACATTGATATTAGTAAAGTTGCAAAGTTTCGTAGAGATTGACTATAAACTGACGAATATATAAAATTTTGAATCCAAGCATTTTTGCAAAGAAATGTATGCTCGTTTCTCTTTCAAAAGTGTTTTACAAAAATACCCATCGTTGCGCGTAACTGAAAATCTCCCGGCCCTGTACATGTCTTAATATATGCTACATTCATCTTTCTTGTGTAGTCGTTATACGAAAATGAAGCTACAAATACAACGAAAAAAATCCACGATAAGGAAGCCAAGGTTGAAAAGTTAACCAAAGACTGGACAGAAAAATGGAAGGAGGCAAAGATGATTATGCAAGTAAGTGAAGCTTATGCATTACCTCGCCACTTACTCCTTAGGCTGCGTTCATAATGTATGGCAGTGCATTGGGGGGGCAGGTGAAATTAAGGGGGGATCGGGAAAATTGTGGTAGGAAAAAGGGGGGATGGGCAAATTTTTATCAGAAAGATGAGGGGGATGCACAATTGTTGGAAGAAGCTACAAGCCTTGCTTAGGGGGGATCGTATTTTTTTTGCATGACTGTAAGGGGGGTCTTATGATTTATTCTGGACATTTCAAATTTTCACCTGACCCCCCTCTGCCATACATTATGAACGCAGCCTTAATATATGCAAAGATACCATTACATTTTATCAGGAAGGGATGTACGACGGTGTTCACTTGAGGAGCATTCGAAATGTTGCACCCATTCCATTCATCCATCCATTCCCACCCATCCACCCATTATTCATCCATCCATTATTCCATCCCATCCACCCATTGTTCATCCATCCAATCATCCATCCATTCCATTCCATTCCATTCCCCACCATCCATTCCCACCCATCCATTTCCAGCCAACCATTCCCACCCATCCATCAATTCTGTATTTTGAGGGACAACTCATTTCTTCATCTATAATCACAAAAGATAAAGAAGTTCTAAATTGTTTTCCTTCAACCAGTAACCACACTAAATACTATCCATGCTCTTACAGGAAAGCGAGCTGGCCCTAAGGCGTCAAGGGTCGTGTGTACTAATCGATTTAGAGCTGCCTCACCTCGTACGACTAGAAGAAGATCCTCTAAAGACTGAAATAAAACTCTACAGACTCGGAGTAAGTAAGAATTGATGCGCAACTGAATTATTCTTGCATTTTAAAATCCAAGTTAATAGAAGGTATTAACTATGTTTTAGTTCAGTAAAGACAAATCAATAAAATATTGCGTTTTCCATTCATCCCCTACTTTGGAACTTGACTCTACAACGAAAAAAAAAATGCGCAAGAAGATAGATAGAGAGAATTTATGGTAACCTGCGTGCGTGGTGACACCCCACACCAATGAAGAAACAAAAAACGCGCGCGCGTGCTGTGTGCAGTTATAAAGTACGCGGGGGTTGGCAGAACACGACAGAAGTGTTAGGAGAAGCACGACGCGTAGGGGAGTGCTTCTCGACATTTCTCAAGTGTCCTGCCAATCCCCAAGTGCTTTATAACTTAACACAGCACAACAAGCAAGCAAGCTTTTTATTTCTTTTATAAAATATAAATTACCATAACCATTATGTGCGCGCGCGTGCTGTGTGCTCTCATAAAGCACGCGCTCACAACCAATCAGAACGCGAGATTTAGAACAGTTATTTCATAATAGACCTTTTTACCTTGGGCGTAATGTTTTCCCATTTCAGACCACGTGTTATTCTCTTGAGAATAATATTCTTTGCTCCAGTTGTATCCATATTCATGTGTCTTCTCATGCGCAACCGTTAAACAAAGAAATGATACCTTAGGGAATGACACGTGGTCGGAAATGGGAAAACAATTACGCACAATTAAAGTGGTCAATTGAATTACTTTATTTTTCTGTCCTTTTTTCTTGAGTTTTGAATCTCAAGAAAAATTGCCTGGAATAACATGACCTTATCATATTTATGTATTCAATGTGTCCTTGTGTTTCTTGAGTTTTTGATAATTAACTCTGTTACCTGTTTCCTCTCTATCTAGCACGGGAAGACGCGTGTTGGACTTGAGGACGCTCCTGTAGCTCAAGACATAGGTAATCATCCTCAGTTTTTGGATTTGTTGTTCTTATTTATCTGCATAATTTTGCATATATGTTAGTCTAGAGACCTTCGGCCGTTGCTTGCGTCGGGTCTGCATTTTTTGTTTGGATAGAACGAAAGAACCCTTTGCCCCTGTGAGGATAAGAGGTGTCCAGAGATACTAAGTCAGAAAAAAGAAGCAGATCAATCAATGTTTAAATCGAACTCTAAAACAACCTCTAGGTAAATGTAAGTCAGGGCACGGCTACTCATACATCGAATTAGAATTAGGCTCCTTGGACACCAGGAAAAAACGTTTGCGCATGCGTGCACTTCAGCATGTCTTCTAATAATTTTGAAGAGTTTGAGTGAGAAAATAAATGTTTGTTTTCTCCAAGTATACAAAAAAGTTCGAGAGTATACTTTTGTCAGACCAAGATACTGTCTTAACAAACACAATATGAAAGAATTAGCCTTAAGTTTCAAGCATGGACACTAAGTTTTGGGATTTTGTGAAGTCCAATTTATCACGCATGTTTGAAAGTCAAATTTACATATGTTTTGAGTAATTCCGGTACAAAACTCTACATACAAACTATATATACAAGACTCTACTCATGTGATGCTAGAACTAGAATATAAACTAGAATGTTGGAGTCTTTAAGAAACTCGTGTCTTATTTTCGGTTTCCTTGCAGTTGTGGATGGCGAGGATATCGAAAAACAACATTGTATTATCGAGTACACTAAAGGAAGAGTGACTTTAGACCCACTGGCGTCAGTTTGTTGGGTCAATGGAGTTTCCGTCGTACAACCAACAAAACTCAATCAAGGTAGGTGTGGATCACTGTAGTAGTCTTATCCATTGTGCAATAGAGGTTTTTCACCAACACGTGCAGGCACCCTAATACAGCTTGGGCTGCCTGTGTGGACGGGGCCTTATCCAATGTGCAATAGAGGTTTTACACCATCACAGCTTGGGCTGCCTGTGGTTAGATGGCAGAACAATAAAATCCCTGTGCTCTTGGGAATTGAATTCTTTCTCATGTAAAACGATTGTATTGTTCCTACCATCTAACATGGCTGCCGTCACGTGCAAAACCTCTATTTCAATTCACGATCAGCTTCTATTGTGTTTGTTGCGCGGGCGCTTGGAAGCCTTGCGCTGTGAACCAACCAATCAGTGCGCGAGCTATTTTTAGCTAGCAATCTGATGGACCAGTGAAATAGATCGAGTTGGACTCCCCTGGTAATTCCCCCCCCCCCCCCCCCCCCCCCCCTCCCCGGAATAACGTGTTTTCTATTGATTATTTCTCTTGCATCTTTTCGTTACTGTAGGAGATGTCATCGTGTTTGGAAAAAACAATGTCTTTAAGTTTAACTTTCCAACTGAGGCAGCCAAACTACGAGAACAAAGAAGATCGGGATTGTTCAGCGCTGTAAGTGTTAATGATCTCTCCTCTCCTCTCCTCTCCTCCCCTCTCATATTTTATCCCACTTTTAACCACATAATGTTTCTATTCCACTCCTGCAGGAATCCTCAGAGTCTTTGTCAGGCTACTACATGTCACCTATACGTGGTAGTCATGGCGATCTCAGCACCAGATCAGACATTTCTTCTCCACTTACTTTGGACTCGGGGTTCGTAAAATCTATTTCAGAATATAAAATCAATATGTTGCTTTTCGATTGGTGCGTGCATTACTAGAGCACACAGCACAGTACCGCTTAATAGAGGTAGCATTGTATTAGGTTTCTATTAGTAAAAAAATCGTTTCTGACGTGAAAAACACACTATACCATAATAACTTAACGACCTCCGTTGCAAACCTCTGTGATTGGCTGGTCCTAAAATTTTTTTCTTGCCCTCTGATTGGTCCAGCATGGCAACAATTTGGGAGTTGCCATGTTTCATGTGTCTATCACACTTAACCGGGATGCGAGCTGGTTGCACCAGACTACGCCTAATCATGGAGGTAACTATGACAACCGGGCCACAGCTCGGCACCTGATGCCCGTCACGCTGATTAACCGTGGAATACTTAACTTAAACACTCCGTCATGCACTAAAGGAATCCCCCATAAACCTAGCACGATAAGGAAATCGATTTTAACTGTGGCTTAATTTATGTTATGAACATAAATGATAAACCTGAGTATAGGCCACCCGCACTGAGTCCCAAGAGGAATTGTTCTGGGGGACAAAACAATGGATTTTTTGCATAAGAAAAGATTGCATACTGTTTTGTCCCCCAGAACAATTCCTCTAGGAATTCAATGCAAGGGGTCGTCTATATTTTAAAAATAATTTCTAATTCTATCATTATTACTAAGATAGCGTACACAGTTTTCCAAAAACACGAACTATGGACATAAATATTCAAAGGATTATTTAATTCTACAGGGTTGACTTCGACATGAGTGAGGGCGTGGAAGAATTAAAGTAAGTTTATTAATTTGTCTCTTGGACGCAACTTTTTAATGAACTGGGCTTGGTTGTCATTGTTTTTATCGGGTGCTTTTCGTGAAGTAATTGTCTCCGAATCGTATCAGATATTGCGCATCGTATGGGGTCATCGTGTGAGACTTGTGTTCGTTACTATGGTGATCTTATGTTCTGAGAATCGTATGAAAATACCTCGAATAGTCCATTTGCAGGAAATAATCACATGACTATTACTGGATGGCAAAAAAATTCGGGCTTTCTTTATTTAAATAACTTTTGCATGATTACTAATGATATATCCAAAACTTTTGTCAAAATACCTTTTTTTTTTCTAAGAAAAGACACTTTCGATTCCAAGATACAAAGCATTGTAAGAATCGTTCGCATGCATCCAGCAGAGCCTTTGGTTGAATTGATTCGTTATCAAGTGATATAGCAGCACGTGACTGTCTGTTGCAAATTCACCATTTTCCATACATCGGTTTACTGGTTAAACACAAAGCATTCAGTCGAGGTTGCAAGGTTCAAATTTGAATAATCCTTTGAAAGTACCTTAGCGCCTCGCTTGATCGCTTTGTGTTTGACCAGCGAACCGATGTATGGAAAATGGTGTATAGCCTTTTGGTTGATGAAACGAAGGAGCAAAAGTTAGTTTAAAAATTAGCAGTATTTGTGATGATGATCTTATTTCTTTCTCAGGACTCACATTAGTGACCTAATACAAAGACACAAGGAAGCAGAGGTTCGGCGCCTTGAAGTAGAACGCAACTACAAAGAAGAAATCGACCTTAAACAAACCGAAATCGAGTCCCAAAAAGAACAGATTCAGCAAATCCGAACAGCTCACGAACTGAACTCGAAGAAAATCCGAGACGAGTTGACCAACTTGCAGAGTGTTGTCGAAGTCAATGGCGAAGAAGACAAATCGCTTATCTCCGATGAAATGGATAAAATATTCCAACTGAGGAATGAGTACAAGTTAGATTATAATGGAGCCAAAGAAAACCAAGAGAATATGAAGGAAGAGCTGCATGTCTTTATGGACAACAAATGGCAGAAAATTGAAGAGTATGAGGTGAAGCTTGCAGAGATTGAGCTGCTTCGGCGAAATGCCCTGGATCAGGCGGAGCTTGACGTTCAACGACAGAAAGAGCTCTTGGAGTGGGAGAAAGACCAAGAATTGAGGGATATCGAAGAACAGCAAGAAAACTTGCTCGAGTTGCAAGAAGAGCTGAAGACGTCGTTGGAAAAAGCGGAGAAGGAGTATAGCAAGGTGATTCCTTCGCTTGAAAAGACGATAAGAAAAGATAAAGAAGAGCTGGAACATATTAATAAAAAGATACGAAATCTCGGAGGATACCAAGTAAAGCTGATGCGAAAAAACATCGAAGTTGCAAATGAAGAGAAGGATTTGTCAAAAAGCAGCGAGAATGACAACAAGAACACAGAAGAAAATAAGTCTGGGCAGAATTCGAAAAGATCTAGTGTTGACAGTAGCGTACAAAATTGCGAGCTCTCTGGTAGTATGGATAGCTTGAAAGTCGGGAAAGGCCAGTTTTTGGAGTTAGAAAATCCCGGACAAAGGCGAATGAGTGAACTTGATATCGAAGTCGAGAGACTTGTACTTCTTAGAAACGAAAAGTCAAAGTCTATCACTGAAAATGAACTCTCCATGATGGAGAAAATGAACAGTTTGGAAGTTTATAGAACCAAGATTCAGGAAAACGAGGAGAAGTTGTGCGAACTCGAGTGTGGATTCAATGTTCGCCAGGAAAAGCATGAGGAAAAAATGGAGATTTGTCTGGAAACTTTACGACAAGATAAAGTAGGGAAGATGTCTGATTTCGACGGTGAACGTGAAAAGTATGTCAATTTGTTGTGGAAGGAGTTTGAAGAAATTGATAAAACTCTCCAAGAATCGTGTAAAGATCCAAACCTTCCCGAAAACGAACAAAAGAAACTTTGGGGAAAAGCTGTGGACCGTCAGAAAAAGGTAGTTCTAGATCTGGTGAAGGAAAAAATTGGGCATATTGGATCTTTAGATGATGAACTATTTCTTGAGTGTCTTGCTAAGAGGTCGAAGCTCGAGCGAGACGAGGACAGAGTCCTAGACCAAGAACGTAAGATCTCGGACGATATTCGTGGTTCGATGAGAGAAAAGGAGCTTGCAATTCAGAAACTCACTGCTCAAAAGGATAAGTTTCATGTCGAGAGAGAAAGAGAAAGAAAATTGATCAAGTCTCGTCTAAAGCGGATTTTGCGACTGAAGTCGTATGACGACCTTCAAAGCGAAGAAACGGTGGAATATTTGACTGAAGAAGCGACGAAACTGAAAGAAGCATGTGAGAAACTCGAAGAAGCTGAAAGCAGGTTTGTGTAAAGGAAAAAAGTTAACTCTTCTCGCATGTTCTGCATGCAACGGTGAAACAGAAAGAAATGGTGCAAAATTGGCGTAATCTTTGCATATTCCGAATTTATCAAAAAATTCCCAACTGAACTTTTCCAAAGTCTTTTTCACAGCAATTTTTTTTATGTTGGGAAATCATTGAATTGAATTTATTTTCTCCTCATGTTATGGTTTTTCTGTGCCAAAGAAAGTAGAACAATTAAGAGGTAAAGATTTGTTTTCTCTTTTTTCTTTTAGACTTTTGTGCGAAACTAGAGAAAAAGAAGTCCTTCTTCTACGACTGGACGAAGCTCGCACCAGACTCCTCACTAGCGAAGAAGACCGCGACGAAATGGAAGCAAATCTGAAAGACTTGTTGAAAGAGAAAGAAAAGAAGGATAATCAGATTGCAGAATTGAAGAAAATATCAGAAGATGAAAAGAAAAAATATATTGAAAACCTTAAGTAAGTATCTATTGATTTCTTAGGATAATTCTTAGGATGCATGTGACGTCATTGCCGCATTGCTGGTTGACTTCAACAGGCTATTTGAGTTTAGGTTTCTTTTGTTATATCAACCAGCATGGCGGCCGTGTCTTTTGACATCGTGCATGTGACGTCATAGCCGCCATCTTGGTTCACTTGAACATAAGATTTGGTCTTAGTTTCTTTTGTTATATCAATCGCAACTAATTTTGTCCTTGTCCATGTGACGTCATAGCCGCCATCTTGGTTCTCTTGTCCTTGTCCATGTGACGTCATAGCCAGTAACTTGGTCAACCAACATGGCGGCGATCATGGCGGCGATGTCTTTTGTCCTTTTATTCTCATGGGAAGGGACAATTTCAAACGCCTCAAACGTTTCTTATAAGTTTCCTTCTTTTTCTTCTTGCTTCATTTTTTCTTCTTGTATTTCAGGAGTGAAGATTACGCGATAATTGAAAGGCCTTTGGGTAATGTTTTTGAGTTTTTTTTGTTTTTTTGTTTTTTTGTTTTTTGTTTGCTGATACGTCTTTTTTAAGTTATAGTTCATTATTATTTGATTTTCTCTGCACATATTTTTCTTTTATTTATTCATTCTCTTTCATTTTCCCATTAGTCAACCGTCTTCACATCAGATACCGTGTCATTGGTAACCACGCCGCTGCGGAGCTTCTAAAGGAGGTATGTAGCGTGACACAAGTGACGTTAAATGTGACGTAACGCATATTGATTGGTTTCAATCAGCTCATGAATCTCATTGCCAGCCTTCAGTGGGGGGCAAATACTGCCCCATGCGCAATCATCCATGTTCATAATAACTTGTCATTCAGCTAGAAAAATTCCACACGAACGCGTATCGCGTTATAATAATTCAACATAAATTGAGGTGGCATGTGACGTAACGCAAGCAGTATTCAGTGGTGTTTGAATTTTTCGGTTTAAGGTAATGTGAGGTAACATATAACGTAAGCTACTAAGTAAAATAATAGCTTTTTAAATTGTAAGACTGATGTGACTGTAATAGAGGCTTAATTTGTTCCATCACGTGATGGCAGCCATGACAGGAGTCGGGAACAATTTATGCTAATCTGATTTACATGAGAAGTAATTCAGAAAAGACTATTGTCTTGCCTTTCATGGCTACTATTTAGCCATTATTGTATAAAAATACACAGGTGATTCTTTCAAAAAAAAGGAAAAAAAAGAAGATAAAAGACGTTTTCCCCTGTAACAGCAACAAAGCGGCTGGCCGCCATTTTGGATTATCGCTGGAGGTGACTATCGTGTGATAGTGTGAGTTTCCCGATCAATCAGCGCGCGAGATTTTCAATAATTCACTAACACGTGATAGTGCAACGCCTCACTGACTCGACAATCTTTGATTTGTAATCGCGCTCAATGATCGATTTTTCCCAGGCGTTACTCGCATCTACAGTCCCAGAGATCATTCGCATGTTTCCCACCAAAGGACCAGTGTATGCAAAGGACTCGAATCACGGGGGTTGGACGTAAGTATTTGATATATTTCTTTTAGTTTTCTTTGTTTGAATATAACTGGAGGGATGGGGGGCCATTATATAGTTTGGGGGGGGGGGGGAGCTGAGGGAATTTATGTTGCACGATATATATTTTTCGTAACACCCCTTCACTCATTTGTGTGCGCGCGTGTTTGCTCGATATTCTTTTATGAAAGGAGAAGCTGCGCGATATATATATATATATATTTGTGTGAATGGCTTCCTTGATATATTTTTTGATTTACTCAATGACCTAAATGGTCCATCCCTCAATTATCTGATGCTCCGTGTCTCTAAGTATAGTTCTCTCGGTATATTGACTTTCTTTAAATCAAGGTTCCAGAATGTCCAGAAAGATGTTGCTATCTTAAGGAAGAGAGAAGAACTTCCCAATGGATTTATTTACTGGTAAGGAATTGTTGGTAGAAGTTTAGCCATGGTCACTTAATTTGAGACCTCGAATACATAGTTTTAGGTTGTGAGGTCTTCAGCCTCATTGACTGATGAAGACTTTCAATTGATTAATGAATACAGAAGAGATAACTAGCTAAAAACTAGTGTGAGCTGCGTCGGTGTTTCTAATGAAACAGTAATGATAAAAGTGTAAATTTTACACCTTGAAAAGACGAAAAAACTTAACTTACTCTTGTTGGATACAGTTGAAATATCTTAAGAACAATTATTATCATTTTTGCTCTGAGTCCTGGAATTTCTATATTATGTTTTACATGAAGTTTTATTGGCTCTACTGCTAGAGCTAACTCTTCACTAGATCTAGTGTAAATGGCCTCTCTTGCAACAATGACTCATTTAGTTGTTGGGGAGCTCGAGGGGAGCATGTGAAAGAGTTTCCACTGAAGACAAGTGAACTAATTTTCTTTCTTTGTGTTATACAGTTTCATGGGAAGAGGGATCATCGAAGCGGCTCCATTAACCGTCTGGGAAGCTGTTCGCAACCCTCTCTCCCGATATATCTACGATAACATGCTCAAGGTAACATCCCTAAAATGTGATCAACTTTCATTGAAAAGAAGGGAGGGGAATGGATGGAGGAAGGAAAGATGAGAGAGAGGAAGGATCTGAGAGAGGAATGATTGGAGGGAGGGAGTAATGACGTAAGGAAGGATGGGAGAGAGGAAGAATTGGAAGGGAGGGAGAGAGGGAGGGAGAGAGTTATGAAGGAAGGAAGAACACATGTAAGTTGGAAAAGACATCAAAGATTACTGACCAAATCGAGAGGGGAAATAAAGGGACTTCACTTTAATCATAATTTTGCTGTTATTCTCTTCCTTACGTGTTATTTTGCTGGTTGCTAACGATTTCGTTATATTTTTCTCAGAAAATCAACATTGTGGAGCATGTTGAAGAAGGCTTGAAAGTCGGTAAGTACAAAACTCCGGTGGGGGACGGGGGGGGCACACGTGTTCACCTAAACTCTTGGTCAGTTTTCTTCCTCCGTGGCTGACTAATCAAGGTTCCCGGAAATAGAGGTTTTTGAAATTCATTCAATACCACTGTGTTCCTTGATAACATACTCAGGGTTAGTCTCAGTGTTAGTCTCGTATCAGCGTCATAATATTCACAAATACCAACGGTATTGTAAAGAATGCACATTTTGAACAATACAAACACTTTCCGTTGAAAAAATGAATATTCTACACAAAATCGAGGCTAGCCCCGAGCAACATAGAATACGAAACTCAAGTAGGTCACATGCATTATAGCGTCATTTACTACTACTACCAGACTCCCTTGCACACTTTCTTTTGTTCAGTTTATTATTACCTATTATCTTACTATTCTTATGAGGAAATACAAATTTGAATAAGAAAGACAATTCGCAAAGCATTTTGGTAGTGGAAGTAAAATGAAACCATCATGCAAACGGCCTATTGGTCCGGCAATCTTAGTCATCTTTTGTATTTCATAATTATTAATGCGTACCTTTTTCACATAGTTTACATGCTTCACGAGACGTCTCAGTGCTTCATGACCCACTCACGTGACTTCTGTTACGTCACTAAGGAGCGAGTTGAGGTAAGACTTTAAGTAGCTCGGCCGAACACTCATGTTACTGGCCTCTTTCTGCATGGAACTGTGGGATGTTCTAAATTACCCAGAAGGCAACTTTCCCTTAGTTTTACACAAAGATAATTCTAATTTCCGTTTTCGGAAAACTATTTTCAAAACTTTTTTTTTTTTCTCTAGGGTCAAAAATATATCCTGGCGTCACAGTCTATCGATCATCCTAAATCTCCACCAGTACCCGGAATAATCAGAGCACAGGTAAGAAACCGACTTTTGCTCAAATACATAAAGTCTATAGCCTTTGAGAACGTGCTTTCTTTTAACGTGTGAACCGGAGAAAACGCAAACGCAAGCACAAACGCAAGACGTGGTTCACACGAGCAACGTAAACGCAAACGCAAGGAAACTACGTGTGCACTACAGTAACACAAACGCAAACGCAAACGCAAGGAATGGAAAATTTTCCATTTTCTTGTGCTTGCGTTTGCGTTTGCGTTTGCGTTTTTAACGTGTGAACCGGAGAAAACGCAAACGCAAGCACAAACGCAAGACGTTGTTCACACGAGCAACGCAAACGCAAACGCAAGGAAAATACGTGTGAACTATAAACAATCACTACTGCGCATGCGTATCTTAATTTACTTGTATTTGCGTTGTACGTGTGAACATTGCTTGCGTTTGCGTTTGCGTTTGCGTTTGCGTTTGCGTTTGCGTTTGCGTTTGCGTTGCTCGTGTGAACCAGGCTTTAATGTCTAGGCTGGGTGCAAACATCTGTAGTTCGAATGTTCAACTAATTTTTTTGTTGTTGCTATTTTATTTTATTTTATTTTATTTCATTTCATTTTATTTATTTTAAATAACCGTTCCAACAGGTAGCGACTTCCTGGTTTGAGCATGCGTAGTGTAGTCATTGATTCTTAAAAAAGCACATGACTGTTTGACGAAGTCTCTTTTGAGAGAAAAAGATATTTCTTCGAGTGACGTATATTTTGTTTGTTTGTTTGTTTGTTTTAGATAATGTCGAGTGGTTGGATAGTTGAACCGCTAGAAATCAATGGACAGGAAGGATCACTTGTTTGGTATATTACAAAAGTAAGGGATTTCGATATATAACACCTCGTTCTTGTACTCCGAAGAAGGACTATTGTCCGTAACGTTAATTGTTGGGTTGCAAGCATCGCCCCATGTAAGGGAATCCGGACTTATGGTGGATTCCGGGTTCCAAGGGTCTGGATTCCGGATTCCAAAACTTTTGTATTGCGGATTCCGGATTCCGGATTCCATATCGTTAATTTTCAGATACTTTCTCTGGAAATTATATTTGATATACTTGCCAGTATAAGAAGAATCGTCTATCAATTAAATCAGCATCCGATGACAGACATTCTTGGTGGAGATGTTACACAGTGGGGGAGGGGCTACTTCGGTTCAGTCTAGGTCGAGGCGATAGCATTTGAGTGTATACTTTGAATTTCAAAGTAGCGGATTCCGGATTCCAAGGCCTGGATTCCGGATTCCAGAGTGCTGGATTCCGGATTCCAAAGCCTAATATTTCGTGTATTCCGGATTCCCTTACATGGGAACACAAGCATCCCCACTGAGAATCAAAAGACAAAAAATGGCGGCCATTTTAATTTGGTGCAGTTAACGATGGATGCGAAACATTTCGTTAAATGGTACCAACGCTCCCCCAAGAGGCCGCGATGACGTAATAACTTTTCTTATTCACTTGCTCTCTCAGGTTCACCTAGGCAACACGACACTTCCATGGCGTCTTATCGATCTTCTATCCAAAAGACAACCTCTGAGTATCGCATATCTAAGGAGCTACTTAGCACCTCAGTGACTGGTTAACTTGCCTCACTTAAAAGATAATTCTTGATGGTGTCGGGCCGGTGATGCTGAAAATTGCCAGCGCAGTTTTCAGCACGAAAACCACTGGCAAAAAGCTGCCCACAAAAGCTGCTTTTCCAAATAAACTGACAATTTGAGAAAGCTTTCCTTTCCGAAAATTTTCAATCATAAAGAGCCATATATGATAAGAAACGAAAACACTTAACACTAATGCGACTTATTTTCTGGATATACTTATAATTCTGTGGTTTTTAAATATATTTTCGCTGGACTTTTTTCTCTAGTGTGCCGTAATATAGCATACCTTTCATTTAGAAGACATTGTGTATAGCTTTTTATGTAATTTGGTAACCTCTCTACCAAAAGACTGGTAAACAACTCGTACCGCATAACTACGGGGTGGAAGAATTCCCCACAATTCTATGCGCGGAGGAGTTCACCAAAAGAAGAAAGAAAGGATAGTAGATTGGACACATGTCATTCCTTTTTTTGATATTAGAAGGCAGTTGTATTTATTTCACTAAATTAAGGGTATCTGGTGTATTATTTGAATTATTTTAGGTAAGAATATTTTGGGCTAAAAATCAAAGCAATTTCATAGAACTACTAGTCAAGACAAGATACGCAATTTTCTTTGAAAAGTGGTTAATTTAGAAAGCATCATAAAGTTTCATAGAAGTAGGGGGTATTGAGGTAGATTACATCAAAGAAGAAGAGACGTTCTGCCATGTTTAAAAATGGTTTCACTATAGAAATATAAAGAAATAGCTAAATAATACTATAACCATGCCCACTCCACCATATTACCCTCACAATAGCTAGGGTTGGGTATTTTTCTCAGAACATAAAATTTTCCATCCTAAATCAATTTGATAAAAATTCATAGTTAAATTTTGCTTCCAAGAGCATTTTATTTAATATCAAGAGTCCAAATATTTGTTAAGAAGATAATTGAATATTTAAAAGAATGTTGAATATTTGATAACATCAACATTTGACATTTGCTACTTTGATATTTCACAATAAATTGTGGACATTATTAATGAAGTATGTCTGACTAGTTTCTTAAAAACAAAATTGGGTGAAATCTGTTACATAAATTCTCTGCTTCCATATTAATGGCACTTCAAACTCCAGCGTGTGTGGCCTTAAACCTCAACTCTGAGGTCTGTAAACGAAAGCAGAAATTAGAATAAAAATACAAGCAACTCTTGGATTCAAGGCTTCCCCTTCCCAGGCCCCCAAAAAGCCACGGCTAAGCAGGCTAAGGCTAAGAGTTTTAAGATTTGTCAATACCAGATCTCATTACATTCCCTTGGGTATGATTCCTTTGTGTACCAGCAATTTTTTCTTCTTCTTCTTCTTTTTAGCTTTTCTTCATATTTTCTTCATATTTATTTCCTAAAGCCATGCAGGTCGGAGTATGGAAACATTACACTAAAATGAATAAGGCTTTATTCATACCCCTTGAATATTGTTTCTTTTGACTTTTGACTTCAGCAGTAGACTGTTAAAATGTTCAGTAAATGATTGTAGATGGAATTCTTCTGTTTGTTTTTTGTTTGTTTTGTTTTGTTTCATTTCGTTTTGTTTTGTTTTTCGTATTTTCTCTTGGATCAAATGCGTATGATTGCCAAATTTTAACATCAAGCTCCTCCACACTCTCCAAAAAAGGAAAGAAAAGAAAGGGAAAAATGAATAGAGAAAGAAAATCTGGCCTTGTAGATAGTAGCCTCCGTATGCAGAGTCATCACACAACGTTTCGTGTCCCCGATTAGTGTGCTACTTGTGGCATGCTAGAAGTTCGACAAGTTTATGTATGTATGTAGAGTCGCGTGACAACCTTAAGCCCATGCCTCCGCTCTGATTTTTGCTTCTAGGATATATTAATTGCAAGGAAAATAATCATTGAAAAATGCTCTGTAGTTGTAAGTACTACTTTTCAGCTCAAAAAAGAAGAAGAAGCTAGAAAGAAAGAAAGACGGAAAGGAAGGAAGAAATGAAGAAATAAAAAGAAATAAAGAACGAACGAAAGAACGAAAGGAAGAAAGAAAGAAAGGAAAAAATAACGAATGAAAGAAAGATAAATAAAACAAAGAAAAATAAAAGGAAAGGATTTTCTCGCGTTTGGGCTCCCTGTGGCCTGTGCAAACATGAAAGAAAAAAAACGCAGGGAAAAACGGGTGCAACTGGTCCGTGTGGTTTTTAAAGTCGTTCATATAATATTCATAATATCGTGTAGGCTCTAACTACTGTATTAAATTAAGATAAGGATAGATGTAGCATGGTTTATTGTGGTAAAAGCCGTTCTCCAGATACTCCATGGTCGTGGGTCGTCTGTGTGTCAACAGCTATCACTACTTTTCTTCATTATGGATTTTCCTTAAGTTTTGGAGTATTCCTGCCCGTTCTTTCGGAGTATTTCCAATCTAATAAGGAGGAAACAGGTCAGTAAATTAATCGTTGTAGCTACTACGTGTTGTGATTGGATAAATCATTAAAAAAATAAGCATGAAAACCATTCCAGGTAACATGACCTTCAATCCTGGTCATCGAAGAAAATGAAAAAATAGTTAAGTCTAGCTCGACACTTCTTGGAAACTCATTCATCTAGAAGGTTTCAAATCTTCCAGTATATAATTTGGTGTCCATAATGATTATCGTTGATTATCGATTTATGATTGATTGAATACAATAATAACATTTGATTTCTTTATTACATAATCATTATTATTATTAATGATATATAAAGGTAAAGTACATATATTTAATGCTGGTTATTCCTTCATATGGAATTCAATTGCTATCAATGGACTGATCAAGCAGATAATGCTCACTTTACCCCCTCTCTTCATCAGTGAGTGCTCTGTTTTAAGAGTATTAATTATGCAATGTCTGGCATCCTACAACCCTAAAATGGCTTCCTACCTCATCGTAATAAACTAATAAATGTGGTATGCTTTTACCTTTACAGCCTGGGTTGGCTCGATTGCCATTTCACTCACCATGTTCTCTGGTCTTTTTGCTGTCGCACTGGTCAGTTGCTTTGGCCACAGAGCTACTGCAATGGGAGGTGGTCTCGTGTGCTCATTATCTCTAATATGCAGTTCATTTGTCAACAATTTGAGAATTCTTTATTTTTCTTATGGTGTACTTTATGGACTTAGTGCTGGTATTATATTAAACACCTGTTTAACTTTGAATAATTTATACTTCAAGAAAAACCCAGCTTTACCAACTGGAATTATGGCAATGGGATCTAGTCTAGGTGTTATAGTATTCGGGCCGTGTCTAGAAGAACTTGTTGAAGCATTAGAGTGGAGGAATACCTTCAGGATCATGGGTGGAGTCTTGCTGTTAATGTGCTTTCTTTCTATCACTTATGACCCTGTTGACACTGACCTTGGGAATGAATTGGAATCCCTTGATAAAGAAGCAAAGAAAATAGGTCTAAGTATCAAGGAGTGTGTGTCATTATTCACCAATCGTACCTTTACTGTTGGACTAATTTCAAGTATRATGATATTTCTGGGATTTTATGTTCCTTTTGTTCACTTGGTAGGTATTAAAACAAATAATATACGGTGAATGTGTAGTTCCAGAAATCATCCATACACACCCCACAGAGGAATTTGAAATTTCCGAAGAGTAAGGGGGTCAGAGAAAGAACAAAAATTACAGAGTTTGTATGGAAGAAAATTGGAATTTCTGGGGGGTAGGGGGTGTCATAAAGAAATTCCTCCATGAGGGGGGTATGGATAATTTTTGGAACTACGCAATTTAATATAAACTTATAACTGATTCCCTTGCACATCCATAATTAAGGGAATCATGGGTGATGCATCAGAAGCACACTCACTTTCACCTCTGGGGTCTCGGGTTTGATTCTCAGACAATATTGCATCATAAAATGTTAGTAGAGTTTGTTAAAATGTCTCCAAGAGTGTGGATCCAGGGGGAGCTTTCAATTGATTTTTTTATCCTAGAATTTAGTTTTGCCAGGTTTGAAAGTAATTAAGAGTAAAAGTAAGATAGACTCTATTACATTTAATATTGATAATACAGACCTTGATGAAGTTACTTCATTTAAGTATTTAGGTATTGTTATCAACAGTCGCTTAAATTGGCAAGATCATGTTGATCAAATGTTCTCCAAGATAAATAAGAAGCTAGGTCTACTTAAACGTATTTGTTATTGTCTACCTTTAGATGCTAGATTGCTGTATTTTAACAGCTATGTATTACCATTATTTGATTACGCAGACATTGTATGGGGTGATAGGGGCAATTCCACTCTAATGTTGCAGCTTCAAACTTTACACAACAAAGCTGCAAAAATAATTCTAGACTTACCTATGAGATCATCTTTTCTCATAC